GAGTTACTTGGATCGGACTTATGTCGGATCCGCAGTTACGAACGGGGTTTTCTCGCCCCGTAGTCAGCCGCTGGTCAGTTTCAGCAGCGGCTGAATCTGAACGCCAGTTCCGACTTACATACAGATTCAACCTAAGAACAAACCTACAGTCCCTATCTTGTACGTAACCCGGGGACTGCCTGTACTTCATTTTTCTGAATACCATTTTGACAGATCTGCTTTGTAGATCTGGGAAGCCTTCACCAGTCATACTCTAGGGATGCAGACACGCTGGTCAGTTTCAGCAGCGGCTGAATCTGAACGCCAGTTCCGACTTACATACAGATTCAACCTAAGAACAAACCTACAGTCCCTATCTTGTACGTAACCCGGGGACTGCCTGTACTTCATTTTTCTGAATACCATTTTGACAGATCTGCTTTGTAGATCTGGGAAGCCTTCACCAGTCATACTCTAGGGATGCAGACAGAGTTCTTCTGCATGTCTGCCTTGTTGCATCACTTTTCACCTAGACCATGTGCATCTAGACTAAGCTTGTCTTCATGTTGCTACAAATATCGGAATAACTTATATATCACCAATATGTACTACTTTACAGTTTCAAAATATTCATCAACTAATTAATCCTCACAACACCACTTTGAGAGCAGGCAATAAGTGGCTGTCTCCCAAATTTAGATGGAAAAACTAATATACAGAGATAAGGATGCTGAGCACCCATAATGCCACTTGAAATCAATAGCTGATGTGGTTGTTCAGCATCTCTGAAACATTAGGGCTGTGAATGTTTAACGAGTTAACTAGTGGGGGCAGGCTTGGCCATAGCAGTTCCTGCCTGCAGGGAGGGAGGGGGAAGAAACACCAGCCCAGGGACAGGTGGGGGTGGGGGACTGCTCGAGTTGGGCTGAAACATCTCACCCCACACCTGCCTCCCCTTTAATCAGTTAACCAGTTAACCAATTAAATGGGATTTTACATTCCTAATCCTAAGCGATTTGTCTAAAGTTAGTGGGTTAGTGGTAGAGCTGGAATTAGAATCTCTGAGGTTTTTGGATCCTAGTCCTGTGCTCACACCACCAGAAAATGATGCCCACTTATATAAATCTAGATGGCTTGCTAATGGAACATATTTCCCAAAATACCATGGGTACCTACTATACAGAGAGGTATATGCAGGTAAATTAACAACTATAACTAGAGACTACATTCTTGTCCCCAAATATGTGGGTTTTGGGCAAGGGTGCTGCACGAGGGCTATGGGATATTATCCTTCCCTTAAGAAGAACCAAATTGGTGGTGGGCAACATGTGGCCCACAGGCTGCATTTGACCCATAGGGTTCTATATGTGATCCTTGAGACATTTTGTTTACCACTGCCCACAGACAGGGTTGCCAGATTCTGCTGTTTTCCATCCACCTGGATTTTTCCTGCTGGTATTACTGAAGTGACACACACATAAAGCAAGGGCACGTGAAGAGAGGTGTGTCACATTGTGAGAGCTGTGCACTCCATCTGCATCCAGTCAAAACACCGCTACAGTTTAGTCGGCACACCCGGCAAATTCTAGGTAGGCAAGCACAGTTAGCAGAGTTACCCTATCCTGCGAGACTGTCTTTGTTATGACACTCTTGTGGCCCACGGAGATAACGAAGGCCCATTCATGTGGTACACTCTCTAGCCTACGTAGGCCATCACTAAACCAAAAGCATATAGCAGCTATGAGCCACTCTACTGTTGCTGTGGTCTCTGACACACTGATGGTCAGAAGTCCCCACTGTGCTTCCTATGTGGGCAGTGCTTCTATCTAATTTACAGATTCACTGGCCTTGCATTCAGCTTCTCTGTAAGGCCTCCCACTGCAGTGCCCCATAATGCACAAGGAACATGGAGTTGCCCTGTGTGGCTTCTCTCAGCTCTCACTTCAAATGCTGAATGAAGTGGTGGTTCTTCTGCAGGTTTGGCCCTGTACCACAGGGAAGAATTAGAGGCCATGCTTTTCTCCTGTATTTATTTGCAAGCCTCATGGGTCAAGCCTGCTCACATCATTCACAAATAATCCTCCTGACTTCAGTGGTGCTGCCTGCACTGAGGACAGATTTAGCCCCTCATTTGCAACTATGGAAAATGTACCTCTCTCACCCCCAGAGTTAATCAAACATAAAATCTTTACTCTGTTCCAAGATGAAATGGTGTATCCTGTATGGGCCATGGGTGTGTAACCCTTTTCTTTGGGGACAAGGATATAAATAATAACTGTGAAATACCAAATATTTTCTGCAGGTATATTATGGAGTCTTGGAACAGAGTAGATGCATTCCTCTGGCACTAGGCCAGTCAGTCCAGCTGCTCCAAGGTTATGTAAGGGAGAGGAAAGAGTCCAAAGCCTTCCCTTCTGCTCTTGATACCCTGTGCAGTGGTTGGATACAATCATAGCCCCTACACTCCTGCTACAGGACTGCTCCTTCCTATCCTTTCCTACACATGAGATACCCCAAAGGGGAAGGGCAGGAGATAGAGCTGGCTGGACATACAGGGAATGGTCTAATTCGTGCTCTGAAGGAGTACACTCCCCAGAAGATCTGGGAGAATTCTGCCTCAACTCTCCCTGGCCTGGTGCTCTCTGTGCAGGCCAGTGCCTGCATGCATGACTTAGACTGACACTGAGCATGAAGGAGAATTAAATAAACCTGTGTAGTTTACAGCCAATTCGTATATTATCTATTCTTTTAGCAGTTGCAATAACTCATTAAGTATGTAAACTTGTGATGACTAATACTCCTGGGGCTGATGAAATTGTTTCCATTATTGAAAAACAAAACAACCCTCCATCTTCTAGCTTTATTTCTGTAGTCCTTGAAATCTGTAGTTATTTTATAGGTTAAAATGAAGCGCATTAATTGTTTATTTGAAGTATTTATTAACTTTTATTGTGTCTATTTTGATTTCAATAGATTTATAATGCTGAGTTCATATTTTCCTAAATAATCATATTTATTTGATTTTTCCCTTAAATTTTATTTGAATGAAGCTTTAATGTTTCTACCTTTTATTCTCTTTGGTTATATGATAAATACATAAATGGTTTAAAGTTGCTTAATAAAGACATTTCTAAATATTCATCATTTCTATTAATTAAGGCCAAAATCCTGCAGTCAAAGTTTGTATTCAGTCGAAAATCCCATGGACTTCAATGGGAGTCTTTCTTAAATAAGAACTTCAGGATTTAGCCTTTAATGGCTGTCAGCCACTTGCCTCTTTCAGTTTTTCAGCTCCAAAAGGACACATGTCTCCGTGTGTAATGGTTTACAGTTTTTGTGCTTACTTTTGGTTGCTTCATTGTACCCTTACTTTTGCAATAGTCTCTGAAGTTTTGTTCTTTAGATGAACAGATGAATATTTATTTGACAGATGTATTAATATCTATCTCATTGTGTTAATGCACACCCAGATGTTTATGCATGTGCTGTAACTGCTCTTTTGACATACAGTTATTGCTTTGAATGGTTAGTAAGGCATATCAGGCAGGACACTGTGCACATATGCAAATTAAACATTTTCTTTTTCTGAATTTCAAACGTTCTTGTTTGCTGCTATTTTATTTTTATCTCAACGTTATGGAAAAGTGAACTATAACTCACTTTCCCCCCTACAACTATGGAGTTATTTTTACAAAGACGAAAAAGGAAAGAATAAGATATAAAAATCCAGGGCATAATCAGGCAAAGTTCCTTCCATTTTTATTGCTGGAGAATAGTATGACTTATGATCTCATCCTTTTGCTCATTTATGCTTGTTTGAACATGTATTGACTTCATTGGCGTTAGAACTGATTTAGACCAATGTCAGTGAGGATGAGCGAGCTTGTTTCCTAGATAACTAGAGGAGCTAAGATACCGTAGTGAAGCATCTGATCTTAATACCTATATAAGAGAGTTGACATAGATGAGATAGAACTAGCTGTTCAAGTAATTCTCTACTGGAAGGAGTTGTGCACATTTGAACCACACAATTTCAAATGTGAAAATATACCTTTCACCCTGGTGCCCCAGGGCGCTGGACCAGGGAAGTCCAACCTGTAACTCCACGGATTTTTAAACAAAACCATCTGGAATGGCTATCCATTATTTTTTCTACACCGTAGAGATGTGACAAATATCAAGGCTTATTTTTTTTTCTCAGTCAGTTTTGGTGCTTATGTAACATTCTGGAAAGTGAGTAACATTAAGGAAAATATTATTGCAAATCACAACATCATAGCTCCTGCTTCTGAAGTGTCACTCATTTTAAGAGCCAAATTTACCTCCATGCCACATGGGCCTGACATTTTCACACTGTTTATTGCTTAAAGCTAATTACCGTAGAGTTTTAAAAGAGCTGGAGGAAGAGCTCACTGGGCCATTAATGATGAATTTCAATAAGTCTCAGAGCACTGGGGTAGTTCCAGAAGACTGGAAGAAAGCTAGTGTCATGCCAATGTTTTTAAAGGGTAAATGAGATGACCTGAATAATTATAAGCCTGTCAGACTGACATCAGTTCTGAGCAAGATAATGGGTTGGGGGATATAAGACTTGATAATTAAAGATTTAAAGGAGGGTAACACAATTAATGACAATCAAGATGAGTTTATGGAAAATAGAGCCTGTCAAACTAACTACATAATTTTTTTTTATGGAAGTACAAGTGTGTGTGATAAAGGTAACATGGGTTGATGTAACAGACTTCAGTAAGTCATTTGACTTGTTGTTGCACAGTGCTATGGTTACCAGATGGTTTAACAAAAAATACCTAACACCTCCTCCCTCCCCCCCCAAAAAAAAACCACAGGGAAAAAATTCTGTTGAGGGAAAAAAAAGGGGGGAGACCAAAGTTGTTGAGCAAAAAAAAGGAAAAAAGGACCCCAATACTTGTTAAAGAAAAAAACCCAAAAAACCCAACATGGCCCCTTTAAGAAACGCTTTGGTTTTGAGGCTTTTTAGCCCTAACAGGCTGCCGGCAGCCGCCTGCCATCTTGCCTCCCTGCGCCAGGCTGGACAGCTCCCCTGCGGAACCCGCAACGTCGGCAGTTGACAATGATGATGTCACACCATAGAGGGCAATGGAGGCGGGGGCGCCGATTGCGCATTCCACCTAGGGCGCCATTTGCCGGCAGCTCTCCTCAAGGCGGGATTTTCGGCTACTGGCCGGGAAAAAATCAGAAAGTACTGGACATTTTAGGCGTCCGGTATTTTCTGAATGTTTTTACCAGCCAGGAGATGAAAATACCGGACTGTCCAGTTCAATACCAGACATGTGATTTTGCGGAAAAACTTGCCAGCTGTCTACACTGGCCGTTTGAATTTCCGCAAGAACATTGACGATCTCATGTAAGATCGTCAGTGTTCTTGCGGAAATACTGTGCTGCTCCCGTTCGGGCAAAAGCCCTCTTGCGCAAATCATTTGCGCAAGAGGGCCAGTGTAAACAGCACAGTACTGTTTTCTGCAAAAAAGCCCTGATCGCGAAAATGGCGATCGGGGCTTTTTTGCGGAAAACCGCGTCTAGATTGGCAGCTTTTTGCAGAAAATCGTCCGGGGCCAATCTAAACGTGCTTTTCTGAAAATGCTTTTAACGGAAAGCTTTTCCGTTAAAAGCATTTTCGGAAAATCATGCCAGTGTAGACGTAGCCTTTATGGATTCACTGTCACTATGTAAAATTCCAGCTGTTTCCTTAGGGATGTCATCAAAGAATTGTAGTAAGGTCAATGCTGTTTGTGAAGCATTGATTTTACTATTTGGGAATCTGTAGTGCTGGGAGAAGCCTCTGAATGTGTTTGCCAAGTGTTTCTCTTGTCCATGGTCACAGGTAGCAGGTTGTGGAGGTTTTTCCTATCTGTTTTCATGGTCTCCACAGGGTACTTAGAGCTTTGCTGAACACTGAATAGGAATGGCCTTGAGCACATACTTAAAGTTAACACATGCTTAAGTCCTATTGACTTCAAGTTAAAGTTCATCATGTGCTTAAGTGCTTTGCTGAATAAAAATGGGGTTACACAAGTTCATGTCCCTTTGCTAACTACTGTATGGTGCTTGTGTTGTGAGCCCAAACCTGACAGAATGAATTCTGCCCAAGCAAAAGGGCTGAGACCACCTGAAACTCTAAACTTGATTAAAGGAGAGTTCTCAGAGCCAAAGATAAAGTAAAGGCCCCAGCCTGTAGTAATCTAGCTTGTGCTGGACATGGAAGAGAGAAATTTTGTAAAAATTATAGTGATCCTTTGCTGGTTTCTGTTGAAGCAGATATGGGCTCAGTGGCAATACTTTATAAGTCCACTGACCTGCCACGTAGCTTATCTGGGTTATGCACAAGGGAATAGGGAGCTTCTGCATCCAGCACATCAACATTTTTTTAAATTTCCTATAAAAAATTAATGGTATTTTGACCAGCGCCATAATGAATGAAATATGCTATACAAATTCATACAAACATTCAACATTGCTAGCAAGCTTATGCTAATTCCTAGGGAAGTATCAGGAGTTCCTTTCTTGTTTGACACTGTGGCAAATTATGTTAATTAACCTCTTTTGTTCATCTCCAATAGTCAGAGGCTGGCGATATGTTCTTCTTGTTACTAACAATGGCCTGTCTTTTATATGCCATGTATCGCTGGACTCCTCTGCCTAAAGAAGAGGCAATTCAAGGTAAGGAAGGTAGATGCAAACAGGCACAGCAGGCCTCTGTAGATTCTTTCCTTTCTCCTTAAAGTTACCTGGGTCAATTACTCTGCGCTGGCCAAGTTCTACTCAGAGCAGGACTATGGTTGGGTGAAGGCTTTTTCTATTCTAAGCTGAGCTGCTCACAGCCCTAAAAGACTGTTCTTGCAGTTGGGGATTGGATATGCACTGCTGGAGAAGCAGAAGGGCCCTTATCACAATTAAGAATGAGGCCTTTTATTTTCTTACAATATTGCCATTCCTGGTGGTTCAACCAATTAAGAAAATGTTGTTTTCATAAATGTAAGAAGGGAGCAGCATTGCCTCAAACTCGTTATGTCTTCAAGGATGCAGTTGTGTGAACAAATGTTGTCAATAACTCTACATGAAATATGATTAGCCAGTGGAGTAATTACTTTCCCCTGCCCCACATCATCCCTTCCTCCTCCTCATATGACCTGGAATCCTGGCAGTGCACATACTACTTACTCACTTTATGCTTCTGGGCTCGCTGTGGGCAGCAAGACGTGTCTAACTTCAGCTTCAAGGTCAGTTTAACTAACTCCTCTTACAATTTATTCACCACAAACAGTGGCATTTAATATGGGAGGCTTATTAAAAATGAATTCAAAGCACCATGGATGGTGGTGGAATTTTAATATAATTTACTGATTTGCATAACTACTCAAATAGCAATGACAGCAAACTGTGTCAGCTCACTGTGGGCTGCTTCAAATGGTGACACTTACGTAGCATTTTAAATAAATTTAAAAAAACCCTGCCAAAATCATTAAATTTCTACAGTCACCCTGCAGAGAAACCACCTTAAATTGTCTGTGTTGTTTGTAAGTGTCTGGACTTAGCTAGAAAGCTTGTGGTTTTATTTACACATTAGATATGAGTTTTCTTGCTATATGGTATAAAGCAGATCTGATTCTTACAGGTGATCAGCATCCGTAACTCTCACCAGCTTGTGTGGGAGAGTCTGTGACTCAGCACCTCTCCAGAATAGTCCCAGTGGGCCAGAATCTGAGCTGGTCATCCTCAATGGAACTAAACTAATTTATACCCAGTGAGCATCTGTCCCAGAATTTTTTGCTGCTGCTGACATTCTTTATCATATTTCCCCCTTTCTTCTTCGTTCATTGTAAGATGATTTTTTTAAATCCCTTTACAAATTATATTTTGTGGAGGTTCACTAATCAGTGGAGTTACAAAACCTAGCTCAATCTGAAAGGTTAACCAGCCTTTTAGTGTGACTAGAAGGTCCCAGTGACTTCAGTTGTCTTTGGATCAGGCTTTATATGACACAAGTAAAGTGTTAGCAGATACCAAATTAACTTTGTTCTTTTTTAACCCCATGTTTAATCACTTGGGGGTAAAGTTACTACAGTAATATCATTGCCACAGCTGATTAACAGTTTGAGTTAACATGTATGTAGCTACATCCTGATTAAGTTGTTGAAACAAAGATAACTTGACTAATGTTACATTTCAGATTTCTGAAGACTGAAAGGCCACAAACAAACATGTTTTCATGTCTGTTCTATTGTTCACTATTTAATATATGAATACATAAATTAACTGTGTGAACTTTAGCTATGACTCTGTGATGCCTTTCAAATGTCAGTCAGGATCATGTGATATGTTAGTTAATACCAGCAGTGACTGGGCTCCAATATTTAATCTAGTTCTATTTCTAGAAATGCCACTTTTCCTGTCTGCAGTCCTTCTATCTTCTTTTCCTCCTTTGGAAAAAGCACGTGCGCTTCCTAATATAAACTGCAATGAACTCTCTAGCTTATTTAGTCATTTAAAGAGAACTTTCCCCCCTAAAATAAATTAGTAGTGACTACAAGATACTTCTGCTTGATAAAGTGATTTGTACTTTTGGGATCACATTTGAATCTTCTCTGAAATGTTCAGACACATTAATATAATGACAAGTATCAGAGGGGTAGCCGTGTTAGTCTGCATCTGCATGATGCATCTGACAAAGTGGGTCTTTGCCCACGAAAGCTTATGCTCCAATAAATCTGTTAATCTATAAGGTGCCGCAGGTGTTCTCGTTGTTTATTAGTATAATGGTTTCACCTCCATGTAGATCACAAACTCGCTGCCCATAATTTCACACCATTAGAATAGCCTGACTGGGTCTTCTGCCAAAAAGTCAACTGTCCTAGAAAATCCACCAAAAAAAGAAGGTGATCACAATAGATCAGATGAAGCCACTGGTGAAAGTAACACAAGGAAATTTTGCTTATGTGGATTCCCACAGACTTTGTATAAATTTTAAGAAGATTTGATTTACACTTTTCAAACATTAATATTTGAGGTAGACCTGAACTATAAAAACTTATAATTTTGGGAGAAGTTCAAATCTTTGAACTTTAACAGAGTGACTCCAGATTTATCAGTGTAAATGAGGGCAGGATGTGTTTTAAGGCCTGTAAATAAACATTCTTTTTCATACTAAGGTCTTAATATAGCTAATCTCATCAAATCCTCCTAGATGTTATGCAGAATCCTTTCAGATCATTCCTAGTGACTACTACCAGAATTGCTTCAATGGCTTCAGTAAAATGTCTCAACAAAATCTGACCATTTTACAGTGTGCCAGATATCTGAAAACTAGAAAAATCAGCTAACTTTGTTTAAAAAAAAAATACTGACCTCAGAAGACTGGATGCAAGCAGCTGAACAGATCTACTTCAAGAGAGACTACAGAAAAGCTATGGTATAAAGCTATAGCTTTTAAGTAGCTGAGGTCAACTCTCTGGGTGTTTTAAGTTTTCTACCACTTAAAAATCATTGATTTACAAAAGGATAGCTCCATGTTGGCTCTGAGGTTTGGTTACCCTCATCTAGTGATTCTGGTTATGGCAAAATAGTGACAACTCTATTTTGTTCTGAAGAAAACTGTGAAATCTGCCATGTTTAGCAATATTGCTTTATGTCACCACTACACTTGTTCCCACGCAGTTAACTGCTTTGTGGTGGAAATTGTTCTACGTATGCTTGATCTATAATAAACAATGAATTGTAACTTGTTGGTTAAAGACTGAAGAACCCTCGTGCAAAGAATGTACCTAGCAACAGTTGCTCTGCTCCGTGCTCTGCAATTCTTCTCTGCTGTTGAATAGCACTTGTTTCTTCTTCAAATGTTTGCTGTAAGAGAAAATGACCTTGGAAATTGTGTCCAGGCTTGAAGGTGCTTTTGTGCCAGTGGCAAATACTACTCTCCAGACTTTTGAGTGTATTTGACTATGTCAGTGGTCCAGGAGCTTGGATAAGTCACAGTCTTTCTGAGTCAAGTCTTGTAGTGATATAAAAGGCATCTTAAATTAGTAGAGTGATACAATTTAGGATCCCAAATTATGAAGCCGGGTCAGCAATGTAAGATCATATGCTAAAAATACACTGCAATGGCATAAAGCCTTAAAGTAGATTCCTCTCCTCCTCCCTCTCTCCATTCCTCAGTTCTTTGGCTCTCCTTTGGGTGGCTTCTTCTGCTTCCCATGCAGCATCTGCTTCTCTCCCATTTATGTCTGCCCCATCAGGTACTGGTATCCGTGCTCCTTTTCTTGTGCCTGCAAACTGGCCAACTCTCACTTTGCAGGTGAGTTAAAATTTAAAATTTATTTTTAGGCTTTACTGCTTCTGTTTCCTCACCTGACAAGAACAACCTGTAGCTTTCTTTCACTGCCTCCAGCCACCACACTTGGGACTCATTTAAAATCACTGTAGCAGTACTCAAAGTGTAAACCTCACTTAAAATAACAAGCTGTGAATATACACTGCTCACTGAGCCACTGAGACCTTACCCATGGGTACAATCTAGATTGTTGAACAGCGGTGTCCCTTCCATTCTACAACCAGGGGGGCTGCCTTTTATATTGCTTTGCTGAGAGAGCAACTACTCCTGTTCTGCTCTCGCACACCCTCCAGCATGTAAATGATTCCCAGTTTACACTGCATGAGTATTAGGGACAGTGTCGCGTTATACTGCACAGTGACACTAGCAAGTTCTCAGTCCCATACTACAGGCCCAGGGTTAGGTGGAGGGAGGCAGCTCATGCCTTTGGAAGGGGCAGGGCCTTGGGCAAAGGGGCAGGCCAAGGGCAGTCTGCCCTTACTTCCATCCAACCCATGGCGCTACCTTGCCCTTCACCCCCTGCACTCAGAACCATGCGAAGAGGCAGAACAGCACTCTGGCAGCAATTCAGAAGGATCCAGAGCTGCAGTAGCAGCATAATTGGCTGGGAGCTCTTGGCCACTTCGAAATGCTCCTCTCCCCATCAGCAGGCCTGGTGCCATACTTTCCGCCAGAAATGTGCATCTTGTACTGCCCAGCCCTCTCCTGGACAACACAAGCTCATATAAAGCCTCATTTTATTAATAAGATTTGTGCATATAATTTTCCATTATCTCAAATGGAGGTTCTTAAACACTTTCGTCTAGAAGACACACTGGTTTAAATAAAACAATTTTATTTACTACAGCAAGATAGATTTAAAGTGATTACAAATAATGAGGCATAAATTAGAATTAGTTACAGCAAAGGGGAACTAAATGCAACTACTATAATTCCTAACTAAATAAGAGTATTGAAAGTAAAAGTTTCTCTCCACACATGCTTCAGCAGTTCTACTGGCTCAATTCCTTCCAGACACTATCCCGCTCTGTCCAAAGCTGTTTCTTTGTTCCAGAGGTGCTGTATCTGCTGGGGATAGAGAGAAAGGTAAGAATAACATGGGGCATATGTTTCTATTCTTACAGTTCCCCCCCTCATCTTTGAGAATCATATCCAGAAGATGGAAAGTCTGTGAGACTACAGTTGTTTCTTTGTCAAGCTGTACATGTTTCGCTCCCACCCTTTTTTCTGTCGAAGAATGACCACTTCTCCAGACAATGGTCCATTTAATTTTTGTGATACTTAGTCAAGACCTCAGTTTGTCTTTTGTCTATGAAAAACTGGCTTGTGGCTGCCTTTCTAAACTTGTAACATGTTTTAGTAATGTCATACAGTAGAATTTTATAACTTTACATACAGTGTTGCCACACATTTTACCAGGACAGTACTACTCAGCAAACTCTATGAGTTTTCAAATGATGCATTTTATACAAAGTATGCCTTGTGAAATAGTCTTGTAAAAGAATCAAACCTAGGGGCACAGATTGTCAAGGGTAACTTTACAAAGATGAAACAGTTATGAGCCGAAACAATGAGAGAGAATATAAACAGAAAAAATGCTTAATATCAAATTGGGGCTGTTTAAGAACATTTTATTAAATGCCCCCAAAGCAAAAATCCTACAATTAAAAAAGAAGACTTTACTCGTTTAAAAAAAAACAGCTTGGCTAGGATGGGAAATGAAAACATCTCTGGATTTTTTAGTAAAAAATGTAGTAAAGGGAAATTGATAGCAATAAATACAATTAGGAGCTAGGAATTGTAGGAAATTGATAAGGAATGCAAAAGATTTTAGAAAATATTTATGACCAGCAGAGAGAGACAACAAAAATAAATCTCTTAAGTACATTAGGA